ATAGAAGTCATAAGACCAGCCCAGATTAAAAAGGTTGGAAAACAGTATGTGCTTCTTAATAGGAAGACTGCAAAGACACACTGCAAAAAGACTGGATCCCTAGGGGATGGAAGGCTCATGGGCAATTCTGCAATCTGTCACTCAGACAGAGTTTTCATAAAATTTAGAATCTAGCAGGTATGGTGGCACAAACCTTAAACCCCAGCATTCAGGAGGCAGAGATAGGTGGATCCCTGAGATCAAGGCCAGCCGGGCCTACATAGTGAGGTCTAGGCCAGCTGGGGCTGCAGGGAGACCCTGTCTTAACCCTCCACCCATAATAATAATAATAATAATAATAATAATAATAATAATATATAGAATCCCTAATTGATGAAGTTTGGGGTACAGACATGTTTGTGCCATGTTTGAAACACACCTATTCAAGTTTGTTTATATGGAATTCTAATTTAATTTGATGTCCTAGATATTCTTTAAATATTTTTATTTTATGTGCATGAGTGTTTTTCCTACACGTATGTATGTATATGCCCCACCTGTGTGCTTTGTGTCCTCAGGGGCCGGAAGAGGGCACTGGATCCCCTGGAACTGGAGTTATGGATAATTTGCCATGTGGGTGCTAGGAACCAAACCTGGGTTCTCTGAAAGAGCAGTAAGTGCTCTTAATCGCTGAGCTATCTCTCCAGGCCCAGATATTCTATATTTTTGTATGCTAAATCTGGCAACCTTATATACAGAAAATGTTAAAAATAAACAAACCCTTCCTTCATGTAGCAGAGAAAGAAACTGGAACTAGAAATTACTTTTACAGTGTACTTCACCAAAATTTGAGTTGGAATGGGCCAAAATCTCTAAATATATCTAAAGAAAGGATGGTTTTGAGACCATTTCTGGTCTCAAATGTTAATGTAATGTTAAGTTATCCTAAAATAATATTTAACATATTGGCTCTTAATTACTATTTCATTTATATATTAGTTGAAAAATTGCTACACAAAACTCCAAAAAGAAGAATCTGTACTTTCCATAATTCAGATCTGTTCTCTATCTGCAATAATTCTTTTGTCTTCCTATGAGAATCCTTTTAAAGCTTTAGCAGATATTAATCACTATGCCATTCTGTAATTTCTTATCTATAATCAGACCAAAGACACTTGAAATTCATGTTTTAAGTACCTTATCCATAAGTACTGTAGTAAAATTTGATGTTTTCCCCTATGAAATTTTATGACCAGCTGTATTTTTCCTACTATAAGTTTTGTGAATAGAACTCATGGTACAAAGGTCAAATAAATGAGCATCATTAAGCAATACAACCTGACATTTCTGGATAATAACTCCCTTGGATGAGGAAAGGGAGAAATGCCTGAAAGGTTACAGCCCCTCTCCCTGTCCCTTCTCACATGCAGTCATTTCCACCCACTGTGCACAAAGACTCTGCTACAAATCTCTGAAGTCTCTCTGCTGGGAATTATAAGGAATACAGAATTCAACACGCAGTGCCTGCTAAGGGTTATTAACTAGACTGGTGATGCAGTTTCTCACATCTAGCTTTAAATATATCAACTCTGTGGCTTATACCAGAATCACAAACTTGAAAGGGAATTCAGAGATTACTACCCACATCCTCATTTTATATATACGGCATGGAATGAGATCCTTTATTCAGGGTTGCAAAAGAATCCAAGGTCCAAAGGTATCACACTGCTTTTCAAACATGAAGACCATGAACTAACTTGATAAAAGTTGCACATTCTGAAATAAGAACTTTTTCAAGTAAACAAGAACATTTCTCAGGTTTGGGCCAGGGGTGGGGGTGGGGTATGTCAAATGGTGATAAAGCTTACCGAGTTAGAAGTGTATTTATATTCCAAATCAGGAACACTGAAATTTGATTTATCCTTTAGAAAGGAACTAACTACAGATTTCACACACCAAAAAAATAGGGCTATATGAAAGACAAATAGAGTTTGAATTTAGAAGTCATATTTGTAAGAAGTAGCTGAGTTTTCGTTATGAAACAATGTATTACAAACACATTCTTATTATCATAATAATGTTCACTAATCCAATCTACTTGCCTACTGCATGCCTTCAACACCGATTGCTCTCTGAAAACCTCTTGCTTTTTCTACATTATAATACCCTATATGCAACATTCTAACCCCAGATGAAATGTCAAAAACACCAATGACACTGTCCCAAACCTTCCCATTGCCGTGAATGTTTCCGCACTGACTTTGTTTAGAGGTTTCAGAAGGCAGGCGAGGTTGAGCATCATATATCCTCCACAAAGGAAGAGTTCCCTTCCATTGGGGAAGGTTCCTCTTCTACCAAGGACACAGCTTCAGGAGGGATACACATGGAAAGGAAAGGAGGGATGGGGACACTAGCCTAAAAAGTGAGATCAAGTAATCGACCCTGGTGATTGGGTATGACAGATGTCACAGCCAGATCACCATCATGTCAGTCTCCTTGTACTGAATTTAAAAATCTCCATACTCTGAGCTGTGAGATTTCCTCAAGTAAATTAATTCTGCCTCAGCATCTCGAGGACTGGGATCACTGAGGTACCACGCTCAGTTCCAAACATCCTTTCAGTGTCTACTTAAGAAGTGTCTACAACTTTTAAAGATTTTATTTTTATTTTGATATTTTTGAAACAGGGTTTCCCTGTAGCCCCAGCTGGCCTGGAGCTCACTATGTAGACCAGGCTGGCCTTGAACTCACAGAGATCCACCTGCCTCTGCCTCCCAAGTGCTGGGACTACAGGTGTGCGCCACCACGCCTGGCAAGATTTTATTTTTATTTTATGTGTATGAATGTTTTGCCTGAATGCATGAAAGTGCACCACTTGCATGCAAAGCCCATGGAGGCCAGAAGATGGTGTCCAGAGTCCCTGGAACTGGAGTTAAGGACAGTTGTTAGCCATCATGTGGGTACTGGGAACTGAATCCGGGTCCTCTGCAAAAACAGCCAGTGCTCTTAACCACTGTGGCCTCTCTACAGCCCCAAGAAGTGTCGACTCTTAATGCCAGAGTCTCTTTGAGGCTTTGGGAGATAAATCAGTGAATAAACAAAGATCCCTGATTTCTTATAATTTCACTGAGGTAGAGGATAATAAAATAAGTAAAATCTATAAACAAAGAGGAGGGGTTGGAAGGATTGGGAGATGAATTTCAACAAGGTGATCAGCAAAGGTCTCAGTTATTGGTGTTTGAATAAACACTTGTAGAAGTGAGGGAACAAGGCTCTCAAGTGACAAGTAGAGATTTTCAGGAAAGGACCAGTTGATCATAGGACAGCAACAAATGCTTGGGACACTGGGTATGTCCTTCCAAAGGCCACATGTGGGTCCCTACAGATGCCTAAAGGCATGAGAAGAGACAGCTTTGCCCCCATCACAGAGAACCTCACTTGCTGACTTCTGCTTTATTTTCACATTATTTATTGTCTCCATGTTCATATTAGATCATAAGCTTTGGAGCTAATTAGGAGTTTTTGCCTTTTTAGTTCTCTGGTTGATTAACAGTAGTAAGATAATAAATGTGTATGTTTACAAGAGGAATGAACACTCCTTACAGGATGGCTGGGAGCATTGAAGAAGACAAATGATTTCCTAACTTTCTTCCTCCTGAGAACACCTTAAAGCTCCCTAACTCCTCAAATTCTTCTGAACACAGTTCTGGAAGACCAGATGCTGTTTTTCTAAACGTGGGTGCTTTGAGTCTGCTGATGAATAGACCAAAGATATAATTCTCCTATCCCAAGCTGTACAAAGTCAAAATTCTGCTGGAAATGCTTCACCCATCATTTCTTTAGAGGGGAAGCTGAGCCAAAGTCACTAAGGACAGTGCAACCTCCTGTGATATCCTGGGGAATTTGGCCAAATGTAGTGATTGTTAGTGGCAAATGATGAGGATGATAAGCATAGATATGGAAGTCCTAGCAAAATGTGTAATTCCAAGGGTGTGCCAGCCCCTCAACCGTTAAAGGAATGGATGAGAAGGGCCCAGCAGAGGATCTGATATAGAGGCAGGCTTGAGACAAGAAAAGGAAAAAAAATTGGAAACAGACCAAGAATCAGGTCATTACATGTATGATCTAACAGCTGAGTCTGCACCAGAAAGTGACATTGCTAACTCCCCGACTTGTGTGTCACCAAAGCAAAGCCAGTGTGGCCTAACCAACTTTAACAACAGGATTCCCTGATCCCTGTGAGCCTCAGGCTTATCTGAATGACCTAAAATGTAAGGTCCTCCAGGCTTTCAAATTACAACTATGATCACATCATTCCATTCCCTATTCAGTACTGTTCTGTTACTCGCAAATTTGTTTGCATTCCTAAAACATCTTCATACCGGCTGTTCAACTTTTTTTCCCCCTTTTACCAGCTCCCTTTCAGGTCTTAGCCCTCTTGTGTGGGAAATGCTACTATCACACAACTCGCTCAGTTACTATGGAAGTGGATTTCTGGTGTAAAGGGTAGGTTTGACCCAATTTCCTCTCCTGCCTCACGTTTCCACTTTGCCCTCCCAATGCTGGTGCAGCAGAGGCCCTCCCCAGATGCCAGCATCATGCACTTGAACTTAAACTATAATTATTTATAAATTACCCAGAAAATTAGACTGAGTTCATTTATTTCAAACTTTTCTATTCTCTCTCTGTGCCTCTCTCACTCTGTCTCTGTGAAGGGTGCACAGGCCACAGGATGTAAGGTGTCCTCTTTGCTCTCTGTCCTATTCCTAGAGACAGGATGTCTCACTGAACCTGGAGCTTGTTGGTTTTCAGCTAGGCTCATGGTCAGCAAGCCCCATCAATGCTCTATCTATTCCCTCCAGCACTGGGGTTACAGGCATGTGTGGCCATGCCTGGATGGGTGCGGGGATCCGAACTCAGGTCCTCATGCTTATGCAGCAAGTGCTCTTGCCCAACCAGCTCCATTTTCTATTATTTTGATAAGATGTAGAGAAATAAAACTGAAAACAAACACAACAATGTCGCATCAAGAAGTAACTTTATCCAAGGTGAATTCACACAGAAGGTATTTTTACCATAATTTCATGTATTATATACATGCTGTGATATCCATAGCAATACAAAATCATCTAATTTGCAAATTTCCCTTACATGTAATTTTTATGGAAAACAAAAAAAACAGACTAGGAGATTCTTATTGAAGACGATGTTCGAGAAAGTGTATAAATTGAGAAGAGCAAAGTATGTGAAAACACAGTGTAATGAGCAATGGGGGCCCAGAACGTACTCTGGAAAGGCTGCCTAAGCACTGCTCAAAGTGAACACTTGCAAACCCCTCACCAGACTTAAATGTTTAATGGTCTTAGGCAGCTGGGGCTACAGGGAGACCCTGTCTCAAAAAGACCAAAAAAAAAAAAAAAAAAAAAAAAATCAATTATGAACATAAGATGAGGTGACTGGGCCAGTGAGAATACTATTTTCTGAGTATATGTGCATGTAGTCAGAAGTCTACCCAGGGCATGGTCACTTACATACACATTTGTAATATATCTGATTACAGAGGTATGAGAGTAAATTTGGTTTTTACTTCAAATGCATTTACTTTAAATGCATTTGAGCAAATAGAGGCACAATAGGGAAAAGGAATATTTTAATATAAAACAATATTAAAGCAGCATGAAATAAAGCAAGTGCTGAAACTAAGAATTCCATAAAATGATAATTTGGATGGATCTACTTCAACCTATCAGAGTCACAGCTCTTATGAATAACACATCTACTGATATGTCTGATCAAGATGAGTAATTTAAAAAATACTTTAAAAGGTAAAATTCTGGTGAAACCAGAAAATAAAATTGTTAAAGTCCAAATGGAAGAGACAGGATAGTCACTATCTGCCTGATGGGAACAATGAATGAGGACCAACAGCTCCCAGGTACCCTATGGGGGTGGAGAAGGTGAGGAGCAGGCCCAGTGAAACCTGCCTCAAAGCCAGAGAAGCTCCACTGCTCCTTGCTTTACCACATATTGAGAACCTGTAAGCCATTTTCATAAAAGCTCCCTATGTGTGCAAAAGAAAATCCTGAAACCACAGCAGCATCCTATGCTGTTCCTAAGCACACAGAGAACGGAAATCGAGACATGTGAAATTAAAGTTTCAAAAAAAAAAAAAAAAACGGTTTCCTTTCCCCCTGTTGATAACTGACCTGCCTACTAATGTAGAGCTCAGGTTCTAGGACTGAGCCATGACCCCATACAGAGCCACATAACTGATCAGGAAAAATCTGACAAGAGCAAGGGTTTCTAATGCCCCAAAGGCCCCAAATTAATTCAAAACCAAATGTGTAATGAATCTAAATTGTTTCTGGCAGGGCTTGCCCCTGTTTTATCACACAACTACACCACAGCCTTCCTTCCAAACACATAACAGGTGCACTTTGCACTACTCAAGCCATCACACCACACAACAATAAATGTTGCCTGAACCCTGCAGCTTAGACTCAAGACTACTTAACATATTTAAACTGCAATGTTTTACTGTACATACCAAGTTTTCCTCAGCATAAGCACTTATATAGAAAACAGAAACTTTCAGTATTTTCCTACTGTCATTCCTAAGCATATAAATATCAAATCAATATATCTTGATATAGTATTGTATTAGAATGTCTCATTTTAAAAATTGCTGACTTAAGTTTCATATGAAAAATCATTAAATGAATTTTGGCTTAGGAATAAGATAGAACTTCCAAGAACTTATGAAAAGGCCCTAAACATATCTGTGACATTTTGTACTATGAGTTTATGTAAAGAGGGGTTCATAGCACTATTATCAAATCAAAATATCAACCAACTCTGAAATACTTTGAAGATGCTCTATATCCTGCAGTACAAATAAATATTCAGCCAAGATGTAATTCTTATGTCAAAACAAACAGGCATATCCACTTCATTAGTAGGATAAATTGCTTTCATCTTTAATAAATGATAAAATTATATGTATAGCAATGAATTGTATTAACATAATTTTTTTTTCTTCAAAAAAAAATTTTAAACTCTGGGGGTGGCCAAGAATGAGTGCCTATGGAGGCAGAAGAAGGCATTGATCCCCTAGAGCTGGAGTTATAGGTGGTTGTAAGCCCTCTGTTGTGGATGCCAGGAACCCAACTTTTGTGGGTAAAAGAGAGTCACAGTGGAAAAAAATGTAAAAACCCTGCAGTAGCAGGAACAGTCTATCAGGTGCATCCCTCCAGATTACTAGCACATACCCAGAAGCCAGCTAGCTAGGGCAAAGCAACTGCTCGCTGGGTCTAGGAAACCAATATAACAAGTAGATCTCCTCTGAGACAGGTCTCAGCAGTAAGCTGCTTCTGAGAAGCCGAAGCTTTGGCTGACAGCTCATTTCCTTCAGACTGCAGACAGCATGAAGCACAGGCGTGGTGGAGGCACTCAGTAACACTCAGGCATGTTAACTGGTGCTGCGGACATCCACTTAAGGATATGTGAAAAACACTCAATTTTAAATGTCAAACTGTTAGTGATAACTGGCCACTATATGGATATTCACGATACTTGGCATACAGATCTTCAAGCAGATCTTCAGGCAAATGTTACTGAAAATATGATGCTCCCTAAGCAATATGCTCTAAGAGGTAAAGTTAAGAAAATAAATTTTATTCTTTTAAAAAAAAAAAGCATAAGTATACTCTATCCTAATGTAGCAGTTAGAAATGGAGTTTTGGGTTTTTCTTTTTAAGGTACATCAGATTTTATGCTTAACAGAATACATTTTTAACTTAAAAAATAGCACATTATTAAAATGTAAAATGGATGCCAGGTGTGGTGGTTTGCATCTTTAATCCCAGACTTCAGGAGGCAGAGGCAGGTGGATCTCCGTGAGATTGAGGCCAGCCTGGTCCACATAGTGATTTCCAGGTGGGCTTGGAAAAAAATGTAAAATGGAATTTTGATTAATAAATAACTGGTACTATAAGCTTAAAGAAAACAAGGTACTATTTTTAAAAAAGTGAAAATGCCTAAATAAATCTACACAAATCAGTGCATAAGACCTTAGAAAATATAAAAACTACCTCCCCACCACCACCCCAAGTATGCCACTAGTTAGAAGGAAATGAAATTCTGAATTTTTTATTGTTATTTTTTATTTTCTTTGGGTTTTTTGGAGACTCAGTCTCACTATGTAGCTCTGGCTGGTCTAGAACTCACTATGTAGACCAGGTTGGGTATAGTGATCCTCTTGCCTCTGCCTCCTGAGTACTGGGATGATGTGCCATCATGCCTGTCCTGGAATTCTGAATTTCCATCTTAAATGTCTGGTCCTCACAGCTTTCCTGGACAAAGTAATCCTAACCACTTTAGCAAGCCCCAATTACACTAATAATGCAGACTCTGGGATGACCTACCATTTGTACTTCCACAGAATCTTGACTATCTTGTTTAGCCAGTAACAGAAAGCCCAAACTTGACCATGTGTGCGACAGTTCATAATGAAGATAAAAAATTTCAAAAGACAAATAAAAATGGCTTGTCTACAAGAGGATCTTTTCACTGGTCAAAACATTTACTACAAGCAGCACAGCAACCAACTCCTCACTCGCTCTACAGGCATCATTTGAAACGGCATTTTTATCTTATCAAAGTAGACAACAAACCAACAAAAATGTGATTTTTCCCATATTAAATATTAATTCAAGCAGCCCTCTTGCAATTTCTATAAATCACTAACAATCACTGAATTGACGGGGCAGACATGAACTTGGCACTTTCTCCCCTCAAAATATCTGAAATGTATGCTTTAAACATATAATATGTACAAAAAGCTAGGTTTACATCACAAATGCTAGGGACAAGAAGCACAGAAGGCAGATACATAATTCTCTGTTAGAGAAGACATTGCTCCATAAGGCTTAGAATTCTACAGAAGTGTCACGGCACCTTCTATTTCACGGCTGGATTTTTGGGAGGAAGGAGTCTGTATGTGTTGAAATAGCCCACCACCTGCTGGGGAATCTCCGCCAAGACACACTGAGCAAGTGCTTCCTTTGGAGCCTTGAAAAAAACAAAATTACAGTTACTATTAGCATCTGGAGATAGAGTGTCTTAGTTGTTTTTTGTTTGCTGTTTGTCTCCTGTGGCCCAAGCTGGCCTTGAACTCACTATGTAGAACCTGAACTCCTGATCCTCTTGCCCCTACCTCCATGTGCTGGGATTCCAGGCATGTACCACCATTTGGTTGTTATATTGGCTTTTAAGTAAAAGACTAGAGACACCTCAGCAGTCATTAAAGCACTAATTCCCAATCTCTAGGTTTGTACCTTTTCTCAGGATCAGTCCATAGAATATGGACTAGTAAGCAGTTTATTTACCACCGCCCTCATTTTCACTTCAATGTGTTGAATCCTTTTTTGGTGCCACCTTTTTTTCAATTTGATAATTTTGCTGCTCTTTAACTTTTAAGTTTAAATCCTTTATTCACTTGGTATTAATTTTTTACTTCTGACTTTGAAATAATTATAGATTCACAGGAAGTTTAAAAATATATACAGGTCTCATGCATCTTTTACCTAGTTTCTTACAAAGATGACAGCTTATGTAATTATAGCATCAACTCAGAACCATGAAAATGACACTGATACAGATCTTATTCAGATTTCACTTCCTGTAGGATAGGAAGAAAACAAACAGAGCTTTACAAATACTAGGCAAATGCCTTAGTACTAGCCCATAAACTGTGTGTGTGTGTGTGTGTGTGTGTGTGTGTGTGGTGTGTGGTATGGTGTGCATATATAGCTCCATGTAATTTTATCATCTAGACAGAAGTAACAACTACAACAATCAAGATAGAGAACTGTCCCAAAGATCCCAAATGCTACCACTTTATAATCACAAACACTTCCCTTCCCTACTTCTAGTGGGAATGTAAAATGGTATAAGCACTCTAGGAAAGCTTGATAAATGCTTTAATAATTAAATATATCTAAGACCCAGCAACTGTACTCATAGGTATGTATACCAGAGGAAAAACAATGCATGAATGTTTACAGCAGTTTTATGTATAATAGATAAAGGCTGGAAAACAACCCAAATGTCCTTGTATAGGCAAATGACTAAACAAACTATGGTATATCCATAGCTCGGGACACATATGAACAGATTCTTCAAAAAGCATTTATTTTTATTGGGGGTGGGGCATGTGAGTGTGTGTTCCTGCAGAGGCCAGAGGCATTGGATCCTTTTGGAGCTGGACTTACAAGCACTTGTGAGCTGCCAAATGTGGGTGCTGAGATCCAAACCCAGGGCCTCCGCAGTAGCAGTACATGCCACTGAGTTATCACTCAAGTCCACATAAACAGACTTTTAAAATAACTTTCAGGATGATAACAAAGACTGAGAGCCTTATATAAATGTTACTTGGAAAAGAAATACTCAGAATCAATTCTGTTCAGACTCGATGTGGTTCTTATAATTTCACACACAGACTATGTTTCATACAACATTATAAATTGGATTTTTACATGCTCCTCTTAAAATAACTAATACCAAGAACTAGCTTTAAAATTATTTTACAATATGACTAGAGCTTACAGATCATTTATAAAATGGGTTACATATAGTTGTCATGAGAAAAATGAATAAGCTTTCTATATAACTGACATAATGTGAAAAAGTTAGAAAGTACTTAAGCCCAAGTAGAACAGACTTTTAACTCTGACTTTTAATGATACAGATACATTTTTAAAAACTGGAGGAGATCTGGGGCTGGAGAGATTGCTCAGTGGTTAAGAACACTTGCTGTTCTTCCAGAAGACCCAGGTTCTATTCCCAGCATCCACATAGCAGCTAACAACCATTCAGAACTCCAGTTCCAGGGGATCCAACATCCTCTTTTGGTCTCTGCAGGGCATCGCAGGCACTTGGTGCACTGCATACACACAGGCAAAACACTCGCACACATAAAATGCAAATAACAAAATATTAAAAAATAAAACTGGAAGACAGCAAGCATAATCTATACTCTCAGCACTCAGGAAACAGAGGCAGGCTAAGAGCAACATGGTTTACATTGTGAATTCCAGGGTAGCCTCGAGGCTCTGTCTCTAAAAATCAAAAATCAAAAGGAATACATGCAACAACCTGGGAGACTCAAAAGCAACCTTCAAAGTGAAAAAAAGCCAATCCCCTTGGTCATATACAGTATGATTCCACTTTTGCAAATTCTTTTCTGTTTAGTTGGTTGCTAGTTTTTTCTGAAAATAGGTTTCCCTATGTAGCCCAAATGGTCTCAGATTCAGTCTTCCTGCAGCCCAAGTGCAGGTATCACAGTCATGAAGTATCATGCCCAACCATGCATGTAATTATTAAAATGATGAAATTATAGGCATGAACAGATCTGTGGGTTAAGGAGGCACAGGCACAGAAGGGAAGTGCAAGTGTCAGCAATCACCTAGGAAACAAACCTCTAGTCTTATCTGTGACTTATCTTATCAGTGTCTCCACAGAGGTGTTTTGGTTTTTGTTTTGCTGTTGCTGTTGTTACTGTTGGGTTTTGAGACAAGGTCTCACTGTGTAGCCCTGGCTGGTCTGGAACCCCCAACATAGACCAGGCTGGTCTTGTAGTCACAGAGATCCACCTGCCACTGCCTTCTGAGTGTTAGAATTAAAGGCATGCACTACTGTACCCAGCTTCCAGAGAAATTTCACTATGGATGAGAAGTATGAATGTGGACAGCAGCAGGCCATGAGCTGGAATGAGTCCTAGACTAAGTAAAAAGGAGAAGGCAAGCTGAGCACCTGCATTCTTCTCTCTGCTTCTTGTGGATGCAATGTGACAGCTGCCTCACACTGTTGCCATGTCTTCCCCACCATAGATTATACCCTCAACTGTGAGCCAAAATGAACTCTCCTTCCTTAAGTAGCCAGGTATTTTTTCAAAGTTGTGAGAACAGTAACTAATATACAAAGGTAACAATAAATTTTAAGATATTCACAATAATACCATTTTAGTAATTCATATAACTATCGCAGCTCTCATATACAAAAGTATGAGCGAGGTCTGTGTTTGAGTAGGGAGGAATGGTACTCACATTCTGGAACTGTCTGAAAGGCACAAACTGAACAATGTCTCTTATGGCCACCTCACCCATTGGAGAGCGGAGACTTCCCCCATCACCATCCAGAAACTCCATGGCACTGAAGTCAGCTCCTCCAACTCCCACGATGATAATAGACATGGGCAGCTTGGCAGCACTGACGATAGCATGTCTGGTTTCATCAAGGTCAGTAATCACACCATCCGTGATGATCAAGAGCACAAAATATTGCTGCCAAAAAGAAAATACGTCCACTGAGCAGGCCAAGGTCAAACAATAAAAGCAATGATTATATTTCCAGTTTGATGAATCAGCCAGTCTGTCTCTGTCTCTGTCTCTCTCTCTCTCTCTATATATATATTTTTTTCCTTGTCAGTCTCTATCTAGGATACCATCTATATAAAATATTCTGTAATTCTCTGATGACAAGGAAATTGAGGCTTACAAAAAAATTGCAGGTTCATTAAAAGTGCGATACCCCACGAATAAGGTTGGCAAAATACACAGAAGCAAGATATCTAAATGTCAAAGACTAACATTTCAGTAAGCACAGAAATAAAAACCTTCATTAAACAGAACCACTAAATATGTAAAAGCAAGAGAGGAAGAAGGAACTCCATTCTCAAACAATCCCAAAACTACCAAAACAGATTTACCAAACTAAAATACACTTTTGAAAAAATAGACATAGGGATGGGGCTGGAGAGCTGGCTCAGCAGTAAAGCACTGGCTGCTCATGCAGAAGACCTGGATTAGGTTCCAAGCACCCACATGAATTAACTCCAGTTCCAGGTGATCCGATGCCCTCTTCTGACCTCCATGGGTATTGCACGACATGTATGCACTTACATATAAGCAGGGAATATACTCATACACAGAAAATAAAAAATAAATAAATGTTTTTTAATGGACAAGGTTTCATCTGCTCTGATCAAACTTTTCAGTGTTTCTTCTGACCTAAGTGGTACACACTTCATGTGAATTATCTTATTTACCCTTTTCAACACCTACATGAGGTAGCTCCCCACAACTCCTTCCTTACTTCTAAGTATACTACCACTGAGAGAGATTGGGAAGCCAATGTGCAATTGCTAATGGCTAGCTAATGCAACCCTTCATAGTAGCATAAGCAATGTTACAATAGTACCTGATCCAAGTGTTCCCAAATCTACATTTGTGAAGTCTACTTCAAAAAGTTAAATGATAGTCTTTTTTTTTTTTTTTTTTTGGGGGCGGGGGGGGGGGGGGGGGAATGAGGGAGAATCTAATTCAAAAGCCAGAGAAAAGACTCATGAATGCAAGCATTCTTTTATTTTAATGATCACTAATTTAAAATAGATAACTGTTCCCAAACCAATTCTGATTATATCATTAATTCCTATTCTTCATTTCATACCTTGACAGTTCAATAAACAGCAATGTGGCACCAGGAGCAACTACTAACCCACATCCTGTCCCTAGAGCACTTACGGAAGCTGATTGTTGTTGTGTGGCTGCAGCTGCAAACCTGGCCACATGATTTATAATTGGAGAAAAATTAGTTGGTCCATAGAGTTTGATCTGAGGAAGACAGGCCCGGTATGCCTCTACAATGCCTTGGATTCCTAGACCAAAGAAAGCAGTATTAAAAATCCTCAACCAAT